TTAATTCGATAATTTATTCTTACAATAATACACTGTCTGTGCAACGTACCCATACTGTTTGTATTTATCCCGATGAACAATGCAAATGAATGTTAATGCATGCGCATATAAAAATCCTAAAATTGTTTGCCCATATTCATAGTTGCCCGCAGACTATATTTTACTAAAAAAGTAGCCCCTAAGGGATAAAAGTTTGGCCACACTTGATTTATATCAACTGCATTCACATGAAGTATTGACTTGATTCCAACTGTATCTAATTACTATTTTAATAGATACAATCAATCCATCCATAAATTTTAATAATTTTGCAATCTATTTATGACTATTCAATAATTAATTAAATTTAAAGAAAAAATGTTTATATTTTATTGTTAAAAAATATGGTAAGTTAACTTTTTTATACACTATTCAAATACCTGTTTAAATATTCTTATGTAATACATTTTATGCAAATTTACCTTTCAATTGAAAACTGAAATTGCTTGATGTTATTCTGTTTTCAGTATATGCTACATTACATTCAGATTCTGAAGTAAGAGATACAAATTCAGTACTTTGTTCTGTTTGATTTTCATTATCTGGTGATTGTAATGTAAATATAGCATTTTCTGTGGTAACTTCTGATCCTGTAGTAACATCAGATGCCACTGTCACAACTGCTGGATCACCATCTGTAGAATGAACTATTTGAATATTTCCCATCAGTGCAATGTTTCCATCTTGATCTGGTATCATAGTTACATTTCCTAAATCATCCAATGTAATATTTTCAACTGAAAGTTAATAAATATTTTATTACTTTAAATTATTTAATTTTGTTACATAAAAATTTAATTCTGATACATGCATTTAATATAATCATCTAACTCATTCTACTTTCACTATATACTAAATAAAAATCAAATTGATAAAATACAAACATTATAATAAAATTAATACATATTAAATTAGTTTATTTGTTACCTTAAAAATTTCAACTAATTTTAAAAAATTTTAGATTACTTTCAAATATATTTTAAAACCTCTATTTATAAAACTGCATTAACATATTGATAAAGTTTCTTTAAAATATAACCACAAATTTGTAAAATGCTTTTTATCTTTTAAATTTCATTTTTTACTAATACAGTGGAACCTCGCTTAACAAGCATAATTCATTCCAGAATCTCACTCGTACTCATCAAGCAAAACAATTATTCCCATATAAATAAATGTAAAATACAATAATGCATTCCATGCCAAAAAAATACTCAAATAGTTTATGTATAACGTGTATTCAAAGAAAATTATACTGTATTTAATTATAGCCTTTACATAGCCCAAGAATTTGGCATATTGTTTGGCGTGTTTATTATATAACGGGCTATAGTTGTTGATGTTTATATATATAAACATCAACAACTATAAACATCAACTATTATAAACATATTATAAACATCAACTATTGTTGATGTTTATAATATGTCTGAACACAAGTTCGAAAAAATGTGACTTTCCCTCTCCTGTCACTCGTTATGTGAAACGTCGCTTGTTAAGCAAGTCATTTTTTCACAATTTGTTTTGTTCATTATGCGAGATTCCACTGTACAATAATATATATTTTATTAATTAACATGTACTATACATATTTTACATTATCAATTTATATATGGTATATTTTTATCAATTTAAAATATAAGCCAGTTAAATACGCATCTATACTAAAATTCCATACAAACTAGGAAACATTAAATATCATAAACTAGCAAGTAAGCCTGGCATTGCCTGGGAAAAAATAAAGACAGACATTAAGATTATTAGATTCTTTCATACTTCTAACCCTTTATTTTATTAAATTATAGTATTTGGCAGGGCTGTGGAGTCAGTATAAAAACACTCAACTCTTCCTGATAATTTTAGTGGACCGACTCTGACTCTGGCAAAATTAAATACCAAATCATTTTAGGGAGGCAGAAGTAATCTTAGGGGGTTATCCTACTCTGAACTATGAAAGGCACCCTGGGCATTTACCCAAATACTTTTATAGTTAGTATTTTTAATATTTAACTTACATTAATATTTATTTGTATAAAAAAAATTAATTTTTAACAAATATTTAATAAGAGGAAAAAGAGGGNTTCCAACTGTATCTAATTACTATTTTAATAGATACAATCAATCCATCCATAAATTTTAATAATTTTGCAATCTATTTATGACTATTCAATAATTAATTAAATTTAAAGAAAAAATGTTTATATTTTATTGTTAAAAAATATGGTAAGTTAACTTTTTTATACACTATTCAAATACCTGTTTAAATATTCTTATGTAATACATTTTATGCAAATTTACCTTTCAATTGAAAACTGAAATTGCTTGATGTTATTCTGTTTTCAGTATATGCTACATTACATTCAGATTCTGAAGTAAGAGATACAAATTCAGTACTTTGTTCTGTTTGATTTTCATTATCTGGTGATTGTAATGTAAATATAGCATTTTCTGTGGTAACTTCTGATCCTGTAGTAACATCAGATGCCACTGTCACAACTGCTGGATCACCATCTGTAGAATGAACTATTTGAATATTTCCCATCAGTGCAATGTTTCCATCTTGATCTGGTATCATAGTTACATTTCCTAAATCATCCAATGTAATATTTTCAACTGAAAGTTAATAAATATTTTATTACTTTAAATTATTTAATTTTGTTACATAAAAATTTAATTCTGATACATGCATTTAATATAATCATCTAACTCATTCTACTTTCACTATATACTAAATAAAAATCAAATTGATAAAATACAAACATTATAATAAAATTAATACATATTAAATTAGTTTATTTGTTACCTTAAAAATTTCAACTAATTTTAAAAAATTTTAGATTACTTTCAAATATATTTTAAAACCTCTAATTATAAAACTGCATTAACATATTGATAAAGTTTCTTTAAAATATAACCACAAATTTGTAAAATGCTTTTTATGTTTCAAATTTCATTTTTTACTAATACAGTGGAACCTCGCTTAACAAGCATAATTCATTCCAGAATCTCACTCGTACTCATCAAGCAAAACAATTATTCCCATATAAATAAATGTAAAATACAATAATGCATTCCATGCCAAAAAAATACTCAAATAGTTTATGTATAACGTGTATTCAAAGAAAATTATACTGTATTTAATTATAGCCTTTACATAGCCCAAGAATTTGGCATATTGTTTGGCGTGTTTATTATATAACGGGCTATAGTTGTTGATGTTTATATATATAAACATCAACAACTATAAACATCAACTATTATAAACATATTATAAACATCAACTATTGTTGATGTTTATAATATGTCTGAACACAAGTTCGAAAAAATGTGACTTTCCCTCTCCTGTCACTCGTTATGTGAAACGTTGCTTGTTAAGCAAGTCATTTTTTCACAATTTGTTTTGTTCATTATGCGAGATTCCACTGTACAATAATATATATTTTATTAATTAACATGTACTATACATATTTTACATTATCAATTTATATATGGTATATTTTTATCAATTTAAAATATAAGCCAGTTAAATACGCATCTATACTAAAATTCCATACAAACTAGGAAACATTAAATATCATAAACTAGCAAGTAAGCCTGGCATTGCCTGGGAAAAAATAAAGACAGACATTAAGATTATTAGATTCTTTCATACTTCTAACCCTTTATTTTATTAAATTATAGTATTTGGCAGGGCTGTGGAGTCAGTATAAAAACACTCAACTCTTCCTGATAATTTTAGTGGACCGACTCTGACTCTGGCAAAATTAAATACCAAATCATTTTAGGGAGGCAGAAGTAATCTTAGGGGGTTATCCTACTCTGAACTATGAAAGGCACCCTGGGCATTTACCCAAATACTTTTATAGTTAGTATTTTTAATATTTAACTTACATTAATATTTATTTGTATAAAAAAAATTAATTTTTAACAAATATTTAATAAGAGGAAAAAGAGGGTGCGGTAAAATTCTGCATCTACATATCTTTATTCTACAGCTTTTGCACTTCAATTTCACCTTTCCAGAAAAGTTTGTCCAAGTTGAAGTAGCTAAATCGCACACTAAAAAGTGTGCGATCTAGCTACTTCAGCCCCTTGTTCAGAAAAGAAAAATATATACTTTGATCAATTTAGTCTGGCTCATTCAGAAAAATACAATACTTATTTAGAACAGTAATAAGAAAAAGGATGAATGAATAATATTCAAATTCAATTGGGTCAAAATAATTTAATTACTAAACACAAATACTACAAAGAACACTAATATTTAATAAATTAAATTGTTGCATTTTGTATTTAAAATAAATGAATTATAACAAAATACAAATAATTTTAAAAAATTAATAAATATAAAATAAATTTTCTTTCATTTAAATAAAAAAAAACTAAATTAAATTTAAAATGCCAGAGTCTGTGTCAACACATTTTTTCCAACTCCATTCCTCTGGCCAGAAATTCCTCCTGACTCCAACTCCACAGCCCTGGTATTTAGTTTAACTACAAAGGTTACCTTATGTAAGGGTTTATCATACCAAATGACCAATCTAACACATTTTAAAAATTCTTTAAAATGTGAATAGTAGAGGAATAAAAATTTTTTAAATGTGTTTGATTGATCGCTTGGTATGATAAACCCTTACATAAGATAACCTTTGTTGTTATATAAATCAAATACTATAATATAATAAACATTAAAACCATATAAAAAGTTTGGTTATTTCAGCCTACCACTGTCATGTTTATTGCACTATTTGGATGGTACGAAATGGCACAATTTTATTGGTCAAGTTGACACCAATTGAAAATAAGATATCCTAAATTTGTTAAAATATATTTTTTTCCTGTTAGCTCTAACAAACTGTTCCATTCACAGCCAAATATCAAATGGTGATCTGCCAATGAATCAAATTTCACAAAAAATGGATCAAATATTTAAACTCGGCACCCTCAAAAACCACTTAATTTTTTAAAAAAGATATATAATGTTCTCCCAGTTATGAGCCTCAAAATGATACTNTATTTATTTCCTGTTAGCTCTAACAAACTGTTCCATTCACAGCCAAATATCAAATGGTGATCTGCCAATGAATCAAATTTCACAAAAAATGGATCAAATATTTAAACTCGGCACCCTCAAAAACCACTTAATTTTTTAAAAAACATATATAATGTTCTCCCAGTTATGAGCCTCAAAATGATACCTTGAAACATTTTTTCCACAACTTTGACGAGGGAAAAAGTATCTTTTTGACAAGTTTGAATTGTTTAAAATTTTAATAGAATTAACTTTATTTTGATTTTGTAATAAAGTTATCAAAAAATTATTAATAATCATAAAATAATATATCATGGTGCTAAATTTTATTTTTTACACTTAAATTAAGAAACTAGTCTAAAAATGAAGTGCATATAATAAAGAACAAAACATATTTTGTGCTCTCCAGTAACCTCATATTATGTAATTTTCCTATTCGAATGCAATCATACTGCTGGGTTTGATAGGAAGAAGGAATTGTTGCGGAAGGGGATTAAAGTTAATTTGACCAAATTTGACTACTAATTAATATTGGTGTAATATAATACTAATTAATATTTGAAAAGTGATCCGTGTTGGATAACTTGTGATGGCCTTGCATGTGATAGAAGTTGCTAACCTTAATGTCCGAAAGACTTCATGTAAGACTTGTATTTTTATAAGAATTTTTATTTAAACAAGAATAATTGCTTTTATGTGAT